ATACACTCAATGCTGCAGATGACAAAAAGAGCTGCAATCAACGTTAGATTAATTCATTTTTTATGCTTACTCAGTGGCTGTAAAAAGTTTGCCCACTAGATACAGGTACAGCGACACAACGCGTGGTAGCAAATCCTCTGCTGACATTTCATCGTAGCGATTTACTTCGGTTATAGTTGGCCTGTTCTTCGCTTTGGCTTTGACATCGGTTCGATGCAAACGCCTTATGCCATCTGGATAAATCCAAACTTCCCTGCGCATTTGCTTCGATTTTTTGGGCTTGCTGGCGGCACAATGCATTGGAGATTGCTTCATTTCGGTTTCCTCATATTTGCGGCGGATTTCATCAAACAAATCAAGTAAACTCTCCTTGGCCGATTGTATAGCATTGGATGTTAATAGGCTGCGCATATAATAATACACAGCATCGAAGCGTTTGTGCTGTGGAAGAGGTATACGACAGTTTGGTCAGTTAATTAAAATCACAACTATAGAAACAATTACTTACACTATAAATAGCAACAATGGCCAATTGGTTGTAGGGCGCTCCATTGCCAGGCACAAGCTCCTGAGCCCGCTGGTAGTATTTGCAGGCCTCTGTAAGGTCCGTTAATTGCAAGTGGTTCGTGCGATAGCGTGACAAGTCGCCCAAGCAGATGAGCAAACGTTGAGCGACCACCTTGACTGCGCTTTCACAGCGCGCGGAGATGTACTTGGCCATGAGCTTGTCAAAGAGCGCTCGGTAAAACTTTATTGACTGCTCGATGAGCAGTAGAATGTGCCTTTGGGCAACATTCGTTTGCTGTCGTTTTAGATACTCCCGCACATTGTAAAAGAGAAGCTTCCAAAAAAATGCATCCACTTTGTGTTCACACACGAATTTCAACTGTTCCAGCAATAAACAGCAAAACGCCTCTTGTAGCTGCCCATGCAAGCTGCAAAAGTTCTTCCAGTTCTACAAGCAATATAATTAGCACATGATGAATCATCCTTTCAATAAAAACTGCAAATACTTACGATAAGAATTAGATTACGTTGTTGCAGCACCATTAGTTGATCGTACAATTGCACAATAATCTTGACGTTAGCCATATTCAGTAGCTGCTCAAACCACGCCGGATGGTCGGTGGTGAGACGTACGCGTGACAGTGGCGACAACGGGGTTTGTTCATGCATCCGTGCCGAACGCGTACGATTGCGTCTACGGGTTCTATGCACAGTTCGCACGCTGTCCGCGCTGGATGCAGCTGTTGTTATTGCTGGACTGGCATTTACCCGCAGTATGCCGGGTATGCCCACTTCGGTTGATCTGTTCTCCAAGCTGATACACCCGCTGGTATCCAAAACGGGTGCGGACATTCCTGTCGTATTTCCAGCATTTTCCTTCGGCTTGCTCAGAATTTTGACTGAAAAGATATTCACGCGCGCGCAAAAACACACAGTATACACACACAATATACATATAAATATATATAGAAACCACTGTTAATTGTTGCGCGGTTAAGTGTGACTCATGTATCTATATTACCTGGCCTTGTACTGACTGGTGGCGTAGGTTCCGTATTTTCAGCATCCTCTGCTGCGTGGCTGTTGTGACTGCAGCTTGCAGCGAACTTGTTCTGTAGCCGTTTCGGTAAAGTCCCAATGATTAGCGATATATCATTTTGATCTTTTGTTCCCTTTCGACTCATATTTCGAATGTTGCTTTTCCAGCTGCATTTATTCCGTTTTGATGCGTTGAACGTGATTCCCCTTTGTTTTCTATAATCAAAATGTTACTATCAAAAGTATTACGCAGAAATATCTACACAAATGTCGGTGTGACCAGTTTACAGATAAAAATAATAAATAGTATTTCAGCTATCGATAGTTTTGCAGCCTGAAAATATACGATACCAAGTTGAAGTTGAACACCAGGACATAACATTATTCCCTTTGCTTAAGAAAATTTGGGTGACTGGTTTTTTTTTTCAATTCAAAAACTATGCTACCTAAGTTTTGCTGAAAGTACACTATGAAAAAAAGTAAAAAAAAAAAGTGTGACCATTTGACAACATTAAAAAATACTTTACGGCGAAATCCACATTCAGATTGTATTTATCATACAGTTAATTTGGAACCACAAAGCGAATTGAGTAACAAGCACTTGCAAAATTATAGATATTTGTTTTTAAAAAAATAAAAAAAATAATTACTGAGCGCTGCTTTGATTTATCGTATCTAAGCGCAAAAAATGGCCCAGGTTGCTTATTTAGATAGCATGCTGCGTGAGTATTTAGTGTATCGGGGATATTCAAACACCCTGAAAGCTCTCGATGTCGAGCAGCGCAACGAAAAGGATCAACATTTTCGTGCGGAGCGATTAATAGAACATTTTAATGCCGCTGTGCAAGCGTCGGACCTCAAGGCGCTGCGCAGTCTATGGCTGCACTTGGACAACAACCTGTTCAGCAAGCTGGATCACACATATGCCGTTGGTAAGCTACAAGCTACACAATGGCTCCTCATGTTCCATTTCAATTATGTTTTGACCTGCATTACAGCCGTCAAGAAACTGGAAAATAGCCTGCTCAAATACTATCTGGTGACAGCGTACAGCAATAATAAATCGGACAAGATATCGGAGTTCTTTAACACATTGGCCAGCGAGCTGCATCAGCAGAGCGAGTGGAAGGACTGGTTCTGTAAGATGAGCATCCATTTGGCTTCAGCCACATTTTCATTTGAATTATTTTACAGTCTTCTCGTTCTGCAAGAATGCCGAGGAGTCACCCACATTTGCACTCTTCTTTACCAAGCAGTGGCAGGACACTTTGCTGCTGTCGTTGCGCAACTTTCTGACCACTGTTTATCAGTGCCTGCCACAGCCGTCATTTGTGCGCGCCGAGCAGGAGGCCGCGCACATGCAGCGGCTACAGGATGATAATACACGTCTCCGTGCACGCCTACTGCAGCTGCAGCAGGAGCAACAGCAGCAGCTAGCCAGCGCATCTAGCTCACAGAATCTAAGCGGTGGTGACGGCGGCACTCGACGTCGCAGCTCTTATCGGCAGCAACAGAGCCTCAGCGACATCTTGCCCTTCGACATCAGTCCACCGGGTCACATAGTCGATGACTTTTGTATTATTGCCTCCGAGGCGAGCATTGTGGGTCAAGCCAGTGAAGTGCAGGCACGCGGGCTTAAGTTACTCATACGCAACATTGGCTCCGGCAGCTCGCCAGTGATGACCCGCAAGGACAATGGCGGCGACAAGTCTTCGTCCAAACACAGATCCGGCAGCGTGGGCCGTAGTTGGATTTAGTTTTAAATGAATAAATACAGATAAATAAATAAGTATATATGTTTTCTTCGCTTGATATTTTATTTATTTGCGCTTCATCCTAATCGAATAGACATACAAAATAAAGAGCAGATGCATGTAAGGTATTATTTAATTGCAATAAATAACGTAAAATTACAAATAAATATTTGACGATTCGTGTATAAAATATTTCGGTCTATACAAGCAGCACAATTTAAAAAATACAATTTACTGTATAATGGATATTTTGTATATAGCAATCAATTATTTTATATATGTATCTAGAGATGTATAAGTATATGTAAATTTTGCATAAAGTAGCATCGATTTTGACTCGGAACATAGACGCGTTCCATTCTATATAAGATAAGTAAATGCGTTTTTCAGTGTCCTTCCTTGAGTTTGGGGAAGTGAGCGAAGCGCCAAATGCAATTGCTTTTCACGAATTACGTTTCCTTATGGAATATGTATATGTATAAGTATGTATCTATGTATTTATGTGTGTATGCATATGTATAGGGTTACGGCCATCCCCTGCCTCCCCGGCCAACAGCGACGGGTTTGACCCGCATTTGTTGCCCCTGCCTCCTTACAGCGCCGTCTCGAATGCTGGCAGTGACGTGGGCGCGCTCACATATTTATTGCTCTCCACGGTAATTGCTCCAACTGAGGCGCTGGCACTCCGGCCAAAGCTGGGCTTCAGCTCGCCGCGCATAAAGTTGTTCTCATCGGTCTGCAGAAAGAAATTGCGCTTTAAATCGAAACTGGAGACGGCCACAGAGCTGGGACTGGTGCTATTAGCTACAGTACACGCCGCTGTTTCATCCGCCTCGGAGCTGGCCCGCGAGCCACCGCTATTATTGGAGTGATCCTCATCGCTGTTGCCCTCCGGTATTGTGGTGGTCATGATGTCCGTGCGTGGCAGAACGGAGGCAACTGCGGTATTAGGGCCGCGTATCTTAGGCGCAAAAGTCTTTGAGGGTGAGCCGAATTGGCCCTGGCGCAGCATCCTGCGATTGGCAAAGGTCTTTGGCGAGCCGCTCAGGTCGAGCAGCTTTAAGCTGGAGTTCAACGTTGGCTTAGACGCACCAGGCGTCGCAGTGGCCACCTTTTGGCTTGACGCAGTCGGTTTACTCGGCGGCGCGGACGACTTCTTGAGCAGCTCCACGGCGGACACTTTGCGCTGCACGGGGCTCGTCTTGGCGGACTTGGCCAGCAACAGCTTCTTGAAGTCCATCAGCGTCGTCTTGGTCTGACCAATGCGATCCGCGCATGTGTTCAGCCGTTCCGGTGAGTTGTCGTTCCAATTGCGCGCCGGCTGTTTCATGGGCGGCATATTCTCCGAGACGCTTGTCTCCGACCGCGTGGGCGTTGAGGTCAGAAAGCTGCCGCTGCAAATCCTTGGCACAATGGGCGATATATTGCTGCGGCCATCAGCTGCAGCGGCAGCATTCGAAGCGGATGCGGTGGCGGCAGCGGCACGCGCCACACGCTCAGCATGTCGTATGGGCGTGGCATACAGATCATCCCGGCACGTTACATTGCCGCTGGACAACGGCTTCGGCTGGCTTCGCCGGTTCTGCAGCGTCCAATAAACGGGCGTATTGCGCTGAAAGGGCGTGGCATCCGTGGCCTGTGTATTCAACTGTGCTGGCTGCACTTGCTCATAGATATTAGAGAAACGTTGATACCCTACGAAAAAGAAAAGAAGGCCATACACAAAATGTCGATCAGTTGAGCTCAGTTAATGGACATGGAGCTATTTTAGTAGGCGTTTTTAAAGTGCGTTTACCCAAAAATAAAGTAGTCCTCAATTATAGAAGCATTCAAGCAAGCGCAAGCCGTACGTACCTGTCGACGCTTCACTGTACCTGTCTGGCTTGTCCCCAGGAGCGTATGTGTTATGTACATATGTGGTGCAATGGATGCGTTGGATGGGTGTGCCCAGAAATGCATGGTGGTGCTCGTGCTGGGTGTTGGAGTGGGGTGGTGTAGGTGGTGGGGGTGCAGTGTCTATGGTGCCCATTAGCCCATGTTATGCAGTGGATGATTATTTTTTCTTTTTTTCTTTTCATTTTCTTTTTATGATACAATGATTGATGCGAATTTCTTGTTTCTTTTTCTCAATTTATTTTCATAACTTTACTTACGATCGGTGGGCTTTTTGTTTTGTATGGAATGTGATTGAACTTAAGAGCTCTACTTATCTAGGTACTTAAATGTGAATAGGTTCTCGTTTCATTTCAAACTAGGCGCTAATTTTTTAAACTACAAACTGTTAAGTTGCGTTAGTTGGGCGAGGTGCAAAAAACTACTACTACTACAATATATATACACACATACATATTAAATATAAATTATGCAATAGAAGTTTTTTGCACGCTTGTAAAAATGTTCGGAATCAAATTAAAATCAAGCAACTCAAATTTAAATTGAATTTGTTGTCTTAAAAAATTAGCGTCATAATTTGTCATAAATTGAATACTTAATGCATACATTTGTGATAATTGTTGTTGTGGAACAAAACATAATCGGTGCAAAAAACTTTACAGAATTTACAATACACATGTGTTGTTGTAATGTTAATAGAACGAATAAGTTTAGGTATTTTATAATTAGTTACAGTTAAAACATATAAAAAACACATAGTTTAAGTACACACACATAACACTTAATTAAAGGTGATTGTTAAAAAACAGTTAGTTAAACAAATGAAAATCATACAAAAAACTGTTTACGCTCCCAAGGCGGGAAAACAGAGCAAATTAAATATATGTATGTAAAGTTAGCAGAACATGCTGCTGATTGAATAAACATATGTTAATAACAAACATTAGATAATTATTAAATTCAATAAATTGAATAGCTAGCATTTCAAGTGTACAGTCAAGTCGGTTGCAAGGCGAACTCGATTTGCAACGATCTGGCAGCACTAGTATTTTGAACGTACGTCTTAAGTTGGCCGCAGCTGGCCACTAAGTAAGCTTGTTAAGTTGGCTGCAGAAGCGGAATCCTAGAGAAGTTTTCAGTATCTTTATGTAGGCTGTCAAGATGTTGAATAGAGCATTGAACCTGTGACTAAACAGCGGCTGGCACTGTTAAAAACTCGCTTCCGGCAACACTAGCCCATTGAACACGTACGAAACAAAGACGGAGTCTGTGTAGACTGAGACTAAGAAAAGGCTGGCATAGGACCGCATAGGTCTGGCTAAGATAGACAATTAACGTGTGCTGTTTGCTCAAGACCCCCACTTGACAACGTGCGGCAAGACGAGGCACGAGTGGAATGGTCTAACTGCTGCTATATTTTAACTTAAGGTCAAGTTAAAGACAAGCCAATGAGCCACCCTGCTACCAGATTTCCGTAACCTCAAACTTTTGCAGGAGGCGTTGGCGTCTAGCGCCGTTATCCTCATTGGGCAGAATGATTTTAAAGGGTCGCAGCAAGACGCTCTCCACGAACGATTTGTGGTATCTGCTGTGAGGTATGGGTGGCAACTGCATGTGCGGCGCCACCAACTCATCCGCCTCCTCCTCCTCGGACGAGTCGCAGGCAGTGTCATTGTCTGGCGGCTCGCCCTCGTTTGGCACGCTGGTCGTGTGGAATGCGGGTGAATCATCAAAGTTCTCGAGCGATTTGTTCTTCAAATAGGAGGAGTCAATGCATGTGGTCGATAGCGAAAACTCATCGACCAGCCGCTCAAAGGACTTGGCTATCTTGCGCTCAGCGGGGCAGCCCGAATTTGGTGTGGTGGACGCCAATTGCATATTGCTCAGGTTGCGCAGTTTCAGCGAACTTGTTGCATGCAACATAGGGGGCAATGCACCGTAAGGTGGCGTCGACGACAAACAGTTTTCCTTATTCATTTCCAGCTTCAGCTCATCGTTGGCCAGCCTATAGCTGTTGTTGCGCTTCAGCGCGACAGAGCGGCATTTGCTCTGAGTGGGAGAGGAAGTTGGGTTGGGGTTGGGGCTACGTTTGGGGGCAGTTGCATTCGAAATGGAAAACTGCGTTGCAGCAATTGGGTCAATCGATAAAACGGCGGCAGTTGCCAAATCGGATGGGGACGGGGTTGGGGCTGTGGGTGTGCGTATTGCAGCTTCAGCTATGCCATTTACTTTCATTCGGGGTGGCAGCGGTGGGGGTGGGCCTGCGGCTGGGGCTGATTTTATGTGGGGGCTGAATTGGGGGTTAGTTGACGGCGTGGCAGCAGCAACCCTCACTTGCGTGCCACAAGCTGTGGGGGGAATCGGCTGTACACATGAAATGCTGCTCATTGATGCGAATTTTGACTTGCTCAGCAACAAATTTGAGTGGCTTTCGTTGTTGTTGTTATTAAAAGTTGTTGTTGTTGTTGTGGTAGTAGAGTGTAGTAGCGTATTATTTACAATGGCAAGGATTTGGTTTGGGTGCGTCAAAGCGGTTACGTTAACAAAATCACTGCAACTGGCATTAAATTGTTGTTGCTCTGCTTTTTGTTGCAGTTGTTGTTGCTCAGGTTGTTGTTGTTGCAGATGTTGTTGTTGTTGTTGGGTTGCTGTTCGCAGAATCTTACCTTCTTCCGCAGAGCTGGCCGAGGCGGTCGTTGTGGCCGATGATGAACTGGTTGCCGTGGAGCCCGTGGATGAATTCGATTTACTGGAGGGCGAGGGCATCATGCCGGCCGTGGCCACAGGAGTCGTAATTGTCTCGTAAAAGGGATTCGTATTGTTGGCCAGCAGTTGCTTCTGCTCCTGATAGCTGCTGCTGCTGCTGCTGCCCGGCTGATAGGCGGTCATTTTGCTGAGCGGCGATTTGGCTAATATTGGACGCACATTGGCCACCTTGCGATTGGCCGCGATGCCGCCGCTTAATAATAATTTGGCGCTCTTTGTTGTTGCTGCCGCGGCTGCTGTTGCACTTTCACCCGTGGCGTCTCGCGTTGCACTGAGCAGCGCACTTTCGGTTTCCTTCACATACGGCCCAGGTGCGAAGGTGGTGTGCGCTCCCTTGCGTCGCTTCAGACTGTCCGAATCGTATATGATGCGACCCTCGGCAGTTGTGCGCACCCGACGCTGGCCGCCGCTCGGCGAGATGAGCGACTTTTCCTCGCGCAGCTCGCTGATCTCCGCGTACATGGGCACGCCGCTCTCACCACCGCTCAGCCCGCCCGCCCTAGCAGGGGTGCCAGCAGCAGCAGCAGCTGCGACAGCTGTCAGCTCTGCGCAGGCTTCGCTCTTGCTGCCGCCGCTTGCCGCATGCCGACGCAAATGCTGTGGCAGCTCGTTGAGCGAAACGTACTCCGAGGGTTGCTGTTGATTCGCTCCCTGCTCGGGCGCCACCCTCCTAACTATGTCATTGGAATAGTAGATGGCGAGGTTGTTTTTGGCGCGATTGTGCTGCCTACTGTTGTTGTTGTTGCTGTTGCGATTGTTGTTGTTGTTGCTTATATCCGCTATAGTCACATACTCGCCCGCCAGGTCGTAGAGCTTGTCGTCATCCACAGCACTCGCCGCGGCGGGCTTTGGTGGCGAGCAGCTTTTGCCCGGCGACCTTTTGATGGCTGCCGGCAGCACGACTCGCAGCTTTTCGAGCATGCCACCGAGAGCTTTTGTCGGTGTGTGCTTCAGCTCGTTCAGGTTGTGGTCCTTGCTGCTGCTGCTGCTGCCATTGTTGGTGGGCGTCAACTGCTCGGGCACATCCGATTCAGTGTCGACGTCCAGCTGCAGGCTGGTCAGCGTGCGCTCGGCATCCGCATCCTGCGACTGATGCTCATCATCGTCGCTGGTGGTGGGCGTTATGATGCACATGGAGGGTATGCGTTTCGCATTGATTGCCGTCTTCTGTTTGATGCGCTCGATGCGCTCCACGCCCTCCAAATCCGAGCACTCCGAGTACTCCAAGTCAACGGGCAACGGCTGCGCCGAGCGTGGCGCGCCATCCTCCGCATGATGCTGCTGCTGCTGCAGCTGCTGTTGCTGCTGCACTGCATCCTCCGTCTTGGCAGACAGCTTCACATTCCGCTTAATGGTGCCGGTTCGCTCCAGAGTGCTGCCAATGGTACTGCTGCTGTAGCTGCGCTCCAGGGTGCTACTGCTGGCGCTGTTGCTGTGGCTCTGGCTGTGCTTGCCCAGCGAGCTGCTGCGCTCGGGCACATCCGGTCCGGTGCAGACGGCCACGTTCATCAATGTGGTGCACACGGTGCCCGCGGAACTGGTTGTGGTCGATGTGGAGCCGCGTCCGTATAGCTCATATTCGTTCTCCGCATTGAGCACCGTCTGATTCGATTGGCTGCCAAAGGAGTAGCTGCTGGTGTGCAGGCTCTGCTGCAGCGGCGTCATCGGCGGCTCCTCCTCCTTCAGCGTGCGCAGACCGCTGTCCATGTGGAACGATGTGTAGTAGCCCTCCGTGTCGCAGCTGTATGCGGAACTGGTCTCATCGTCCAGATGATTGGGATAGCCGCCCGCATCGCCCTGCAGCTCCGGCGTGGCGGTGCCCTCGCTGGTCACACTGCTCGAGGCGGAGGTGTTGAGGAATCGCCGCCGACTCAGCATGGACGACGGCGGACCGCTGCTGCTGCACGGCTGGAAGCTGGAGACGTTCAGCGAGGTGTTCGAGGCGCTTGACTTCGGCTGCATGGTTATCTCGCTGCCAATCGAGGCGCGTCCCGACTCTGAGCTGGCGCTCCAGTTGCCGCTCGACGAGTGCGGCTGCTCCTCCTTGCCAGCCGCGTCCAGGCGATGTAGCCCATTGCGCCGCTGTCGGTTCAGTGTGGCCGTTTCACGCATCTTGACGTTCGCCGCCGACGCCGCCAGCGAGGACAACTGCAGCTTGCCGCGCAGCTGGCCGCTGCTGGACACGCTCATGCTCTTCTCCGACGAGGAATACGAGGGTTTTCGTTCGTGCGAAAACCGAGATTCACTCTTCTTGGCAATCAGCTCATGCACCACGCACTCATCGTCAATGTCTCGGCTCGCCTCGCGCTTGGACTTAAGCCCAGCGTTCGCTGACGGCGCTGGCACCGAATGTCCGTGGATGTGGCTCGGTTCCGGCTTCTCCGTGGAGCTGTTCTGCGAACTGCAGCCGCTGGTGTCCAGCTGGCTCGACTCGCCAACGCCGCTCAGCTCGCCATTGCGCTGCATAAACTTGAACCGATTGCGGCCCCATTGCTTCAGCGAGTTCAGGCGGGTCAGCGTGCTCTTCCCCTTGTCGTAGGGCAAGGCAACAGATTCCTTTTTTAAGATGTCGCTCGATTTGCTGCGTCCGAATTTCTTGGATTTCTTTGTCGTATCCACAGTTGTCGCGGGCGCTGGCGATGTGGCATTCGATGGATGCTTCGAATCCGCATTGCTGTTATATGGATGGGGAAAATGTTTTGTTTTTGTTGTTGTTGTAATGTGGTTGTTGGGAAACATAAAAAAGAAAATATATATATGTTTGGTATATGGTTAGCTAAATTGTAAGACTTGATGAAGATGTGTGCGATATTTGGTTAGAAGATAGACCGAAACAGTTCGGCAGAGAGACAGAAAGAGAGAGTGAGAGAGAAAGAGAGAGAGAGAGAGAGAGCGGGAGGGAGTCTGGAGGAGAATGTTTGCCAATCTATAAAAATCATTGTGAGGTGTGAGCCCAAAATATTCTTCCTAATATATTTGTTTTTTTCTTTCTTTCTTTTCATTTTCTGTCTCTGGTTAATTTCAGACAATTTATCAATTTTTTCATTTTAAAGCGAGCGAGAGTTTTCAGATACAAACACACACAGCCAAAGGAAATGCTCTGGGAAAATGTAGATTAATTAATGGCACAGTTCAAAGTTTAATTTTCAAGCAAACATTTTTTTTCTTCTGTTGCTGCTCTGCTTTCTGTTGATTATTAAAAGCGATTACAACATCTACATTTCTGAGTGCCCCCAGCTGAAGATTTTATTTCGTTAGTGGGGCAGCTGTGGCATGCACTTATAGACAGCATAGGGTGCACACACATACATACACACACTCACACACACACACTAATTATGCCGATAAGCAACGCTTTTCATTCAATTCCCCTCAAAAAAAAAAAAAAATCTTCAATTGAGCGATTTGCCACGGATTTGGGTGCAGGTCAGCTTTTATATGTAAGCATTTGCTATATGCAATGCACCAAATAATATGATATTTGAGCTTTAAAGAGGTGAGTTCTAAATATGACTAAGAAATTCCGTTTTTTGAGATTTGTTTGAGTATTCAGTACTTATAAGAAGAGTAAAGAGCAGACCAAATCTTAACTCTTTATATTCGGGAATAGTCCGTAAATCCATCCAAAATAATCATTGATAAATAATTTAAAGATATATATACATATATCAATGAAAGTGACGTTCTTTAGCTGTAATCTTTATAAATTATATGATATTTGCACTGTATGCACGCCAATCACTTGAAAAGTGAAAGAAGTATGGAAAATCTTTGGATCAAAGCTGGCAATATGAAAACATTTGATGTATACCCCGAAAGTAAGTTGACCTTTTATAAATGGGGGATATTTTGTATACGGAAGATTATTTCGATATAATATTTGATATTACAATACTTTAGATTTTAGAAAAGTTACATCCATAAAATTGTAGGTGTTCTTTTCATAATATGCAATATAGTTTCAAATACAACTGGAAATTCTTTAAGCTTTTTCGAAATATATCTATAACTGAAGGCAACTTCTCGGGTAACCCTCGCATTGCACACATCGCTCACAGTTTGACGGGCAATTGAGTTCAGTTGAGTTTGGTTTTTGGTTTGCTTTGCATATTTAATGCTGATCGCACAGATATTGAACAGCATTGGCATATATAGCATACAAACTCACACAAATACATGTGTGTGCCTGTCTAAGTTCGTGTGTGTGCTTGTGTGTGTCTACTGTGCAGTTTCATGTTGCATATGAAACGCAGTCAAACGGAATGACGACAACGTCGCAGGCATCGGGTCGTGGGTTTTGTGAGCAGACGACGCCAACAAAACAAATAAGATTTATGAAACTTTTAAGCAAAAGGCGTCAGCCAAATGCACTGAAGAAGTACGAGAGGCAAAAAAAAAAAAACACACACAACCCAACAGGAGTTGTTGTTGGCTTTTGACTGGTTGGCGAAAATCCTATAGAGAGTACGTGGCTCCACGCCTGAGTTATGCTGATGATGCGCAGGCTGAGTGCTGAGGGAGCTGCGAGTGGGCAGCATGTTGCTGTGCAACATGACAGCTGGCAACAATGTTGCCAAGCCAAATGGCAATAGAGCGTGCCTGTGTGTGGGTGGTTTGTGCCTGCGCTGAATGCAAGAGGTGAATGTCTCGGATATGAATGAATTTTATGATATATGCGAGCAATGCGTGTTGTGTGTGTTGTATGTGTGTGAGTGTGTGTGTGAGTGTGTATTGGTTTCTAATGTTGAGTAATTTGTTAGGCTGTTTTTTTTTCTTTGGCGTTTTGCAATTTAGTTTTAAGAATTTTTTTTGGCTGGCAGAAAAAAATGGTTTTCAATTTGCTTGGCTGAAAAAAAAATTATGTTGCTTGCAATTCATTTTAATTAGCATCGAT